TAGAGAGGGACTACAGCAACTGGTAAGAAGTTATTTCCAGTGGCTCTACCAAGCAGAGAATGTAAATGACAAGGGGATAATGATACCTAATGGCTTTCCTGGGGTGAATGAAAGAGAGTTGCAGACCTTTTGTAGATAGGTTACACTGGGGGAGGTACGACGAGCTGTCCTTAGTATAAATGCTAATAAATCCCTAGGGCCAGATGGAGTCAGCTTTGTTTTTTACCATAAGTACTGGGATATAGTCGGCCCATCAATGATAGAATTCGCGATGGCTACTTTTCATAATAAAAAAATGTCGATTGAGATGAATGGTACTCTGATTGTGTAAATACCTAAAGTGGCGAACCCAACAAGCATTACACAGTTTCGGCCCATCTCACTATGCAATGTGGCTTATAAAAGTAATTATAAAAATCCTGGTAGAAAGGATCCGACCTCTGATGAAGAAATTGATAGCACCGAACCAAAGCAGTTTTATCCCAGGAAGGCAAATTAGTGATAATATAGTTATAGCTCAGGAGATCATTCATAGTATGAAACGCAAGCAAGGGAAGAAAGGATATATCACAGTCAAAATTGATCTAGAAAAAGCTTATGATCGAATAAGTTGGAAATTTCTTAAGGAGACATTGGAAATGGCAAGGTTCCCAGAAGACTTAATCTTCCTGATAATGAATTGTGTTCAAGCCTCAAGTATGGAGATTTTGTGAAATGGCGAACGAACTGCTGCCTTCTCCCCGACGCGAGGTTTACGACAGGGCAACCCTATGTCGCCCTACCTGTTTGTCTTGTGCATGGAAAGATTAGGCCACCTTATCAGCATGGCAGTGGAAGAAGGAAGTTGGAGGCCAGTTAAGATTGTGAGAAGAGGTCCGACAATATCACATATGTTCTTTGTAGATGATTTGATACTGTTTGCAAAAGCGAGTTTGCAGCAAGCGGATGTTTTACAGAGGGTACTAGAGCGGTTCTGTGAGGGTTCAGGACAAAAAGTAAGTATTGCTAAATCAAAGATGTATTGCTTAGGGAATTTTCCAATAGAGGTAACAGAGCAAATTAGTAGGAAAACAAGAGTTGGATTAACAAATGATCTAGGAAAATATCTAGGCATGCTGCTGTTACATATCCAAATTAATAAGGGGACTTATAAGGGGATTCTGGACAGAATTAATAAGAGGCTACAGGGGTGGAAGAGCAAATGTCTATCCTTTGCTGCTAGAATATTACTTGTGAAGACTGTAGTAGCCACGATACCTATATATGCTATGCAAACATCATGGCTGCCAAGCTCTTTGATAGACAAGATTAAGAAGAAGATTAAGGGTTTTATTTGGAGTGATGGAGATTCGAAGAGGCGAATGCATCTCATAAATTGGGATATCATAACACAACCAAGGAAGAAAGGGGGACTGGGAATTAGAAAGTTAAGAACGGTAAATAGAGTTATGTTAGCTAAAACTTGTTGAAGGTGTATGACACACCATGAATCCTGGTGGGCAAGAATTCTAAGAGGCAAATACGAGGATAAAAGTGCAGGAGCCAACCCATTCAAGAACAAAAAAGGGTCAATCTCATACATGGAGAAGTTTGCTAGAAGGAGCAGAATTGCTGATGAAAGGGGCACGATAGAGGCTAGGAAATGATAATAGAATCAACATCTGGACAGACTCATGGATCACAAAGGAACCATTAATACAGTGGGCAATTGCGGAAGTGCTAGAAATAGAACTGGCTAAAAAAGTGAAGGAGTACTGGATTAATTCCACTTGGGACTGGGGTACGCTAAGTAATTACCTTCATCAGAATCAGATCAATTTGATTAGAGCAACCATGGTTTTATAGTAAGGATGACAATCCGGACTCGATTACCTGGGTTCCTGAAGCTAAAGGGACTTTCACTACTGCTTCGGCTTATGATTTAGATGGGCAGCGCGCACCCGTAATGAAGCAAGGCATGGCATGTGAAAGGCTATGGAAACTCAAGGGCCCAGGGAGATGGCAATTTCTATTATGGATTGTCAAACATGGGAGACTGCTTACTAACATTGAGAAGCATAGGAGACACCTGCATCCTACTGGACAGTGTGAGATTTGTAGGGCAAAAAGTGAAACCATTCTCCATGCACTACGGGATTGTGAATGGATAAGTGTTATCTGGCGTAAGCTAGTTCAGTAGAAATATTGGAGGATATTCAAGGCTAAAACTCTGGATCAATGGGTAGATTGGAACATTAAGGAAAGCGGAATAGGCAGAAATCAGGAGATTTTCTGGCCTATATTGTTTCAACGGGTGGTTCATTGGGCATGGTCAGCTAGGAACGAATGGATGCATCAAGGCCTAGATAAGAAAATGGGAGTCAGTGCAGAACAACTTGTGAAACATGTAATGGAGGTTCAGGAACTAAACTCAAATTTCCACGAGACTGGAAAAAAGCAGCTTCACTACATTAGTTGGGAAAAACCCAACCAAGGATGGGTTAAACTAAATGTAGATGGAGCGTCTAAGCACAATCCAGGGAGGGCTAGTGTGGGAGGATTGATCAGAAATGAATATGGTCAGTGGATTGTAGGATTTAGTGCTAACCTGGGTCATGCAAGTAATGTGGCTGCAGAGCTTTGGGCTATTCTTATGGGATTACAAATTGCTTGGAATTCTGGATATAGAAAACTTGCCATTGAGTCAGATTCTGAGGTTGCTGTTTCACTGATAGAGTCAGCTTCAAAGGAGAGTCTACATTGGAACATACTAGTAGAGATTAAAGACATGTTGAGCTGGAATTGGAATTGTAGATTGGAATATATCTGGAGAGAAGGGAATAGGTATGCGGATCACTTAGCTGAATTGGGGAGAAGTCTTAACTATGGCTTGACAATGTTTGGGGACCACCACAGACAGTTAAAGAACTCCTGGGCCAGGATGTGTGCGGAGTGGCTTTCCCTTGTTTGATCAACATGTAATGAGCCAATGGCTCTCCTTAGCACCAAAAAAAAAAAAATTTTCCACGGGGGATTCTAAACTTTAGAAGGAGGAAGATGGGAAACAAGAAAGCTTAAAAGTTAGGATTAATCTTATATATATTGTCAGTGTATACATTATCACTATTAAATATATGACACATACGTAAAATTTGAATTTAAAATTTAAAATTTGCTCAGTTGTCATCCATCTAATAGTGATAATATATTCACTTACAGTGTATATAAAATTTACTTAAAAAATTAAATCAGAGATCTCATGATTGATTATCTGACCAATGTCCAAACCAGTTAGTTAAACAAACTGGGTCATGGAGATGCATCATGTAACCTTTTGAATAGGGAAAGAAATTCATTACTCATGTTGTTAATATCCCTAATCATGTTCATCGGGCCCCACATCATGTTGCATACAAATGCAACAGGGGATAATTGCAGAAACCTCCATAAAGTTTCTAACACTAGCACTCACCTCCCCTATGATTTAAGAAAGAGCACTAACCTCCCCTAATAACAATGTATTCCTTTTTTTTGGCTTCCATGTTTTCTTTATTTGTTTACATGGTCTTACATGATTAAATTGGCAAAACCACTCCAAAAAGATATACAACCAATTTCAGTAACACTTGATAACTTTCCAATTCATGTACAGGATCTAATTCTTCCTCATCGTAAATTTGCACCCACAAGACTTAGAAATTTATTCTTGATTGGTTTTCAGGCTTTCATGTAACATTCACATTATGCTAAAAACTATACCTTTATGTATTCTCTATATATAATTAATTGTGCATTAATTTTAAGAAGAAATGTTTGCGGACGATCAAGAATCAAGAAAACGAAGGGGGGGGGGGGGGGTTGGACAATGGCGTGGCGGTGTCTGGCCTCGGCAAAACGTACACGCGGCGGTGTTTTGGTTGCTTGCGGGATTGTGTTAGCAAACAAAACCCTGCTTTTACTTTACTGCAATTGGAACCTCTTCAAAACCACTCCTGTAAAAAGTTTGGCTTTGGAGGCAATTATAAAGTTAGGTCACAGGTGGATCTTATGGAGTTGGGAACCGCTAAAATCCATCACGCTTTGACGTTGATGGGAAATGGATCAGAATTGCTTTGTATCCTTCTTCCTTCTGTCTTTAGTTGCAGAAAATGATCTCAATTAATTTTCGTGGCTGCCTACTTTTTTTAAAAAGGTTGAAAAATTACACTTACCTTTCTTAATGATCTTCACAAACTTTAAGTGAAAATGAGTTTAAAAGAGCTTCTTTATCCTAAAACTTTAATGTCATCTAATTTAGTACATTATACTTCATTCCCAACTAGATTTATCAGTTAATTTTACAAAAAGTCGACCAATCAATCACGAAGGCGTCTGTTACAATAAGTATCTTGAAAAATTACTTAACCAAAAAAACATTTCCAAAGCACGAATGAAGAATGCTTTCAAAACATGGTTTTAAATTTTCCTGCAAAAAACTAGCTCGAAATCTTTCACCGTGATAGTCGACTTTCTAGCATTTAATTTGTTTTACATATTAGGGGGAGAGATGCAATATTGGATACTTCTTGAATTTTTTTTTTTTTTTTTAGCTTACAACCTCAATCTTTACCTAGTCATATACTTTTTAAGAGAGGTTTCTATACTTTTTTAAAGCTCACGAGAGGTGACTCAATTATCTGAATATCATCCCTTAATTTTGAGAGTACCTAAAAAATTTCCCACCCTGATACATACTAGTAATAGATAGAAAGACATTCCGGTAACAAATTTGCTCCCTCCCCCGGCTCAGAAGATTTTTGCCTGATTTGGCTTTACTACAATCCATTTTTTTTTTGGGGGTAATAAACACAAAATACGCTCCCAACCAACGGGTAGCGATGCGATTGTTTCTCTATAGGCATGTTCATCAGTGTTCGAGTCCCACCGTTAACGTGTTTGGAGTGGATTGGGTGGCCGCTCGAACAGTGATGTGATTAATTACTCCCAAATGTAGTAGTGATGTGATGACCGATTTTTGTGTCGATCTAAAAACAAAGAAACAAACAAATAAAAACAACAGAAATGGTTAAATACAGGACTTAAATTCAAGCCAGGAAGAAGATACATATAATTCATCAAGATACTGCCTGCCTGGCTCTGGCTCTGGCTGAGGCCAATAACAAAACGAAAACTGATTGTGCAGAATTCTTGCAAACATCGTCGGCGGAAAGGGATGGACCGAAATTGGGTCCAATCGAATCTACGAGAAATGATAATCTTCGGCGGCGGCTAGTAGTGGGAGTGCACTTATGACTTTAAGGGTGGTATGAAAGTTAGGATTGTCGGATAATGCAATCCAGTCCAAGTCAGCGTCAGCGTCAGCATCATCATCATCATCATCATCATCAGCAATCAATTATAGTCTACAGATAGAAGATATGGTAGAAGGGGAGGAGTACAAGAAACAAATACTACAATTTTAGGATTAGTGGGGGCCATGGAAAGAAACTTTCAACTGTCAAGGTCCGATGTTCATCATCGGCGGCTCCTTCGCCTCCTCCGTCTCCTTCTCCTTCTCTAGTTCTCTTCCCTTCCACTGGAAAAAGTAGATCGTCGAAACTAAAAGCATCTCTGCACAGAACTGCCTCACACATCCACACCGCCAACTAACTCTGCGGTGAAACTGAAACTCGAAGGGATAACTCTGCTTACGTGGACGCTAAGGTAAGCACACACCCAAAACCAAAAAAAAAAAAAAACCAAGATTCTTCATTTTTTTTTTTTGGGTTCGGTGAAAGGGGGAGGGGGGATTGGGGTACTCTCCAGACTCCTTCGTCTCCTTTTTGTAACTTGCACTCATCAGAAACAGATAGAGTGACGGACACTAGTCTTTCCTTTTTTTTTTTTTGAAATCTCCAAATGAAAAATTCCTGCTGGCAGCCATTCTATTGGTCTTATAGTAGCAGTAGAAGACTAGCACCACTATAAATATTGGACATGCAAGCTCACCGCTGAATGCAAACACCGGAGGTGTCGTGTATGTATGTATTCACATAACTGAACTGAATTCAACAGTTTCTTTTGTGAGCTCACTTGGTAACTAACAACCCCCCCCCCCCCCCCCCCCCCCTTCTTTTCTGTATCTATTTCTATCTCTATCGCTATCTCTCGTCCCTCTCTCTCTCTCTCCCTCCATACTTTCTCTTCTTTGGAATTTTCTTCTTTTCGGCTCTGCTCTTCCTTTGTTTACTGCCCCGTAAAATGTACAAGTAGCAGTAGCATTAGTTGTACTAAAAGTATAAAGTTTTCATCTTTCTGGCTTATGACCACCGTAATTTGGTGTTTAGTTTTTGCCCTGTAACAATAACAAGTTTTCGTCTTCATTCATACGGCCGGGTCAAATGAAAATGAATGTTTGTTGCCAATAACACTATACGTTGTCATAACTAACAAAAGAGGGAAGTTAATAATATCCGTATGGCTCTTTCCATTCACAAACGAATTCCCATGTCTTCCCAATTCAACGCACGTGTCCTTTAGTTAATAATGCTCTATTGTTTCAGGGAAACCTATAATGTTGAAATCAATCCCTGAAACAATTTGCACCCTTTTGCTTTTTGTTCCTTACCAGCACTCTTTATGCTATCTTGTGTGTGTGTGTGTCAGTCTGACGATGACTTGAACTGAAATTCATTCAGAATGCTGTTACATATTGTTCAACCCTCCAATTCTGCAGCTCTCTCTCCCCTCTTTCTCTCTGCCTCTCGTTTTGAATTTCAATGTTCCACAATTGCATAAAAGCTTCGAACTTTCTGCTTCTGCTTTTTTCTTGGGAGCTTTAGCTTCTTTTTGCTTGTTCACGTTTTTCCTAAGGTGATTGATTGTGCTCCACTTAGAAGAGGTTGTCAAATGTCAGTGGTACAAACTACAAAGCATAGCCCAATTCCTCTTCTTTTGATTTTTTGCCTGTTTTGTTTGAACGGAACTTTGATGTATTTTCTTGTAGTTTGAATATTGTAATTTTACATTGCCCAGAAGCAACTGTCTGACATCCCATCTTATCTGCATTATTCGATACTGCCTATATATCTGTAGTGACATCCAGTTATTGCGGAAAGTAGCCGTATGCTCTGCCCGCTTTACTACTTTAATTCTGTTATTTTGGCCCAAACTGAACCGAACTGTCTTCTTTGTTCACACTTAAATAGGGTGTCAAAGTTCTTAATGCGGTGAGGAGGAAATGGGTTCAAGTCGTGCCCAACATTCAATTGTGATTTGCTTGTTGCTTGCTTCATGGATACCTTATCAGGGTTTTGCCTTCGGAACTGATACAAATCAGGCAGCATTTCTGTTTGTAAACGTTTCTGAAGCATCGGCAAGAAAAATACCTGATACTCTATTTGGTATATTCTTTGAGGTTAGTGTTTTAGTGAATAAAACTGGTCCAACTCAGAGGCCAATTGCTTTTGTTTGCTAAAACTGCAATTGCTAAATTAAGTATTCCAAAATTTGGTTTGCTTGAAAATATTTCATGTCATATGTTTTTTGATTGAAGAGGATGTAAAATCATAATCCGTCTTTCTCTTATGCTTATTATTAGGCTATTTATCCTGTGAAATGTTTTTCTTATCTGCGAGCCGACTGTTGATCTCTACGTGGAGTTAGTTTGGCACAACTATGTGAATAGACTATTCATGTTTGGGGACAACCTTTAGAACCTGTTGAGCTTTAAGTCTTGATTGATTATATACAAAGTTAAGGCCATTTCTATTTTCAGTAGTGAATTTTAGCTGTCATACATTAATATATTTGCTTTTATTGTACAGGAGATCAATCATGCTGGAGCTGGTGGACTGTGGGCAGAGCTTGTTAGCAACCGAGGTCAGTTTCAGATTTTTTGTGTATGTAAGTTGGAAAAAAAAAAGTAGAATCAATTTGGTTATCAACTTTGTTCTAATTTGTCTGAGGTAGTGGCAAACTTGTATGCACCTTCAGTGAAATCAAGGAAGGTTAGACATGGCAAATTATTCTAGTAACATTCGTTTTTCTGTGAAAAATGCATTTTACTCAGTCCTTTTCTGTCCCTATTAAGGGTCTTTTCTTCTATTGCATTGCAATACAGACATGATTGATGCAAACTCCTTTCCTTTTCTTTTTATTTCACCTACCCAATAACTGCATCTTCAATACTCCTGGAATTCCTAACTTGTATTGTAACATATCACAGTTTTCTGGCTTTGTGATAGTTATGGAAGTTAACCTGATGCTTGATCATGAAAGTACGTGTATATCAATTTACTGTACAAAAGTCATCTAATTTTATGAGTTGAACTACACCATGCTTTCGCCTTATTGCTCTTTCCTTTTGTTGCCTTCTCGGTTTCTCTTCTTCCACAATGTTTTAATTTTTTTTTTGAATAATCCTTCTATTGAACATCATTTTTGAGCCAAAAAAAAAAGAGAGGTCATTTGCAATTTCACTACTTTTTTAGTTTGCGTAAGTGGAAATGAGCATGCGATATTGCAAGCTGTTATCCAGCTACCTGCCATTATCTGCCTGTCAAATAAATTCAATTTCAGACCAGTTGCTTGTGAAAATTCAATTTCAGGTTTTGAAGCTGGGGGCCCCAACACTCCCTCAAATATTGACCCTTGGTCTATTTTGGGGGATGAATCATCTTTGATTGTATCAACAGACCGTTCATCATGCTTTGATCGAAATAAAGTTGCACTGAAAATGGAGGTTCTTTGTGACAGTGGAGGTGCCAATAAATGTCCTGTTGGAGGAGTTGGCATTTATAATCCTGGATTCTGGGGCATGGTAAAAATTGATTCCCTCTTCTCTGGTTTTGGAATTTTTTGATGCAACCTATTATGGAGTATCCTTTCCCTTGCTCTTTTTACAACACAACCTCAGCTTATTTTGGTAATGCTGGTTTTTACCATTTTGACAATGGCAAAGAGCAAAATTGACTTGCTTTGTCATGTGATAGTTTCAGTTGTATTTTAACTTGCCATCTATGGCTTGTGCTGGCATCAAAGGCCTGTTGCATTTTGGGCCTATTCATCGGTGGTGTATTAATGTCCTTCCTAAGTACCCTTTCTGTAATACATAGAATAGTGGAGCACATATGCTGACTTCATTCCCCATGTCTGACTTTACCTTTTCAAAACTGACATTCGGCAACTGAAGTATAAGTTTCTGGTCCTATTGGCACTTTAATTGCTGTGGATGATTGAATTGCTCATGGTGGTACCTGCATCCAACAAGTTTTGTTTGGCTGTCATTAAGATTCTGGCACTGCACTAGGAGAGGTTTTGGTTTTTTCTACGTACATCAGAGTGAGGGCGAGAGATAGAGATAGAGAGAGGCTATAATATGTAGGACTATTTTGCTCATCTGTGATAGTTCTTAAACTCCACACTTCATTCTGGCTAAGTTATATTTCACCCACAAGATCAGCGATTGCCTTCTGGGGGACAAGACCTTCTGGTAGCATTAACACAAGCATTTGAAGGGTCTCTAACGGACAAAAAATTAAGGACGAGAGAATAATTTTAGTTTGGCAATGGACTCTGATTTTGAAGAGTATAGTTAGCACCTGCATTCTTCACTTAAAATGCATCACGTCCGCATGGTTTTAGTTTGTCTGCGTGTCATGATGATTTGTGTCGATGTTTATTGTTCATTCATTTGATAATTTGTATTTCAGTGTGATTTACAGCATAAGTTCTGGCATCAACGGATGAATGCATGAGTGATGCTAGTTTCATAATAGCGTTCTTCAGAATATATTGGAATGGTTGTTCAGCTAAATCTTCCCTGTAACTCTTGTTTTCTTTCAGAATATTGAACAAGCAAAGACCTATAAAGTGGTTCTCTTTGTACGTTCTCTTGGTCCCATTAATGTATCTGTATCATTGACTGGGTCAAATGGATTGCAGACTCTGGCTACTGCAAATATCGTGTGAGCTTCAGCAGACCTATATGCAGTTTTTCAGAGGTTCTCTTATTTACTGATTGAGCCATATCAGCTATTGCTTACTGAGTTTTCCTCATTGTTTCCTTGCAGTGCTGCTGACGTTTCAAACTGGACAAAGATGGAAGTTCTGCTCGAAGCAAGATCAACTGATCACAGATCAAGGTTGCAACTGACGACAACAACAAAAGGTGTTATATGGTTTGATCAAGTTTCGGTTATGCCTTTGGACACATACAAGGTAAGTTTTTCATGGTCGAGGTTAGGTTTTAGAATGTTGGTTAAGTTGTGTGAGTCAACAAGCTGGAATAGAATTTACAGGCTTTCCACGTTGAGATTACACTCTGGGTGTTTATATCAGAAAATTTCTATGACAAAGTTTTGAAACTAAAAAATCCTTATTAATATGATTCACTAAATTTGCATGACAATTTGGGCCAATAAGTTGCTATTTAATTCATAACTTTATACCAGTGAGTCTCTTCATAGTTCTTTATGGTCAAAGTTTTGTAAGGTGGCTTTACCTGAATTTAGCATTTGCCTGGATAGATCAAACTTCTGCTATCTGTCTTCGTTATCAACTGTAACCCTTGATGAGCTTGCAATTGTCCTAGTGCTACTTAAAATTTTGATTCTAATTACACAAGGAAAAAACTGTTGCACCTCCCGTGATGCTTCTTAAGAGCTGAGGAAGCCAACATTTGTCACCAGAATTTATGGGGGAGCAAAAGATTTATCGTGAGAGGGCAATAACTGTTGGGATTCTGTAATTTTTCTTTGGTTAGGGAAAGGTGCGATCTGGAATCATCCACACTGCTGATACAAATATACCAATTTCTTTTTACACACTAATATTGATCCACCAAATTAACTTGTGGTACTTAAAAGAGTTGTATTCCGAAATACCCACTAACCTGTTAATTGTTACAGTAGGTGCTGAATTCAGCATAGAATAGTATATCTGAGATTTGAGTTGGATGGCAGGACAAGGCTTCCTACAGTAAATGAGAATTCTTCGATTCTATTTGACAAGTGCACAACTTATTTGGGATTTTACCTCTTCATTTGGCCAATTTTGACATGGATTCTTATCAGTTAAACATTATAGTAATTATTTTCCATCATTGACAATTGATCTGTTTAAACTGTCATCCTCTATTATAATTATGACTTTCAGAACTATGAGAATAGACCCAAAAGCTCAAAATCAAATTGAACCTCATCTGATGTTGGTCAACTAGAGTTAGGAAACAACTTTAAGCTTTAGGACCTTGGGGTGGATTGGTGGGATGGGGATAAAATCTATCAGCCAAGCTTTAACTGTCAGTCCATTGGATTTGAGCTTTAACTGCTAAACCTCAGGAGTATTAGATTTTAGAATTGTTATTCAGTGAAGTATATCGGTTTTGATTACATATTGAATGTGTAGTAGCGTTCAACTCAGTGGCTTCAAAGATATAAAATCAATCTGGTATTGCATTTTCTATTTGCAGAGGAGCTTAGAGCTAACAGTTTGATCTTCATTAAATTTCTATTCTGTAGAATTTATGTCCTTGATAAAGATTTTTGGCACAGGGACATGGTTTTCGGAATGATCTTTTCGGTATGCTTCAAGATTTGAGACCAGCGTTTGTCAGATTTCCAGGTATTACTAACTTTGGTTCTTCCATCAACCTTGCATCTTGGCTTGTGGCATTGATAATTGCAATTATTTTAATGAAGTTGGAGGACAGATTTGGTGTTGCAAAGTGCATCTTACATGGTGTTGAATTGGGTGTTGTCAGAGTAGATTCTATATGTTAATAGTACTATGGTTATCAATTGAGAAAATTAATATCCATTCAAGTCAAGTTTTAATATTGGCACTGAGGGTCCGACCACTTGGGTTATTATTCCCAGTTTCTAAGATGGTCTTTCAAACAACGGAAAATATACGTGAAAACAGGCTTGAGAAAGTTCAAGGAAATTCATAAATACCTGAAGATACTTGAGTGAGATTGTTGAAGGGTGCATTCACTGGTGATCTTATCTAGGAATTGGGACAACCCAAATTTTTGAAATAAAAACTGAGGTATTGACGTTCACTGAAATAATCATGATAGATTAGAAAAATCAGGTCTATTTGTGCCTAAATTCCTAGCACCATTAAGTCTAAAAGAAGCTATAGAACAATTGAGGAAGTCTTAACTCAAAGATTCTTCTGTATGAAAGCTTGTTTGAATAATTTGCTTGATGAGTTCATGAACCGTGTCCAACATGTTACTTATGAGACCTTTCTTATCAGACTAGCATCAGCCTATGATGGTTATCAATTTTATTCTTCCCGCCTTCCTTAATTTCTATGATCTTTTCTTTAGGGTGACTTGTCCAGTACTGAAAGATGTGATTTCATCAATAACTGGTACTGATGGTAAATCCCTTACACTAGGTGGTGGAGAAAGTGATTTCCTACACTTACCTAGCTCTTGTAAGATAGAAAAATCATGTGGACCTAATCCAGCAAGGAAAAAACTTATAGTGGATCTATAGATGTGGTGCAAAGACCCACAGATCTCAATCTAGTAACAGCTTCTGGAACCAAACTATTGCCACTCTCCTTTGGACATGCGGGAATGGAAACCAGAAGTGTGTCTGGGGCCTTTGTGTCCCAAGGAACCAAACCATCAATAGTAGTCGATTTGGCATGAGAATTTTTGGTAGTACCGGTGAACCAGATGGAATAGCTCATACTGTTTCATATTGGAAAAATTGTAATTCTTTAGAAAATCTTGCGAGACACCAACCTTGTAAAAGGAGATAATGAAGTATTGAAGATGGCTAAAGCTAGATGGTTAAAAATATTGGATTGCAGTCATATCATCTCTTCTGACAAGTGAAATGTTTCTAAGCTGCATCAAGTGGACGTTGGAATTTATACATGCCTCATATTCTATGTATTATTTGGTTGTATGAACATGGAATAATACCAGGAGTTTCAATTTTTCAAAGTGCATGTTGAACCTGCCTAAAGCAGTGATGTGGGAAACGAGTTGATATTTGTTTTAGTTTCTCTCCATTCTTCAAGGCTACTGAGGGTAGTTCAAGAAACTATCGATTATATTTATTTGCACTCATTATGCTTTATTCTTGTGTTCTGCATAATAGTTATTTCATCAATTAGTTCACTATTAGTCTTAGTAAGAACTCAGAGGCACTGGAAGTGCAAAATTCTTTAACATCCTTTTTCAAATTTTTATTTCAACTTCTAATAAATTTGGGGGGATAATGGAGCACATATCCTTCAGATCTCTTTTTCAAGACGTTGGCCAAACGGCTCTTTAGTTCTTGATGGGATTTGCTTCAACTTTTATCCAATACATTGTTTAAGAACAGATTTTATGAGTTATGAGTTCAGACCTATTTCTCATAGTGAGTGCTTGTATGTACTACCAGTGATACTGTTTAGGGCTGTATAGGCCTTATATTATGTACTCATGAAATAATTCAGATCTGTTTAAGCAATTCACCTTTTTATTTTTTGCGCTTGTATTTGCTAGGTGGCTGCTTTGTTGAAGGTGAATGGTTACGAAATGCATTTCGCTGGAAAGAAACTATTGGACCATGGGAAGAGAGGCCTGGGCATTTTGGTGACGTTTGGGATTACTGGACAGATGATGGAATGGGGCATTTTGAGTTTCTCCAGGTAACATCTGCTTTCTAGGAATAGGATCTTGGGTCTCTAGTTCTTAACTATCATATTTCTATGGTAGTCTTCTCTTAATGCTAACATTTTTATATCCTTCCTTTTTTTTCTTCTGTAGCTCGCGGAGGACCTTGGTGCTTTACCAGTATGGGTGTTCAATAATGGTAACATACTGGAATCTATTGCAATTATAACATGTTCTTTGTGACCTTTCTTCCAATTCAGTGATTGGCTTTCTGTTTTCTCCTTTATCGTAATACTGATATAGTGCTTTTCACAATTTGCAGGAATCAGCCATAATGATGAAGTTGACACTTCTAGCGTCTTTCCTTTCGTACAAGTAAGTTTTCTTGGTACTTTCTTCATATATATAAATCATCCATTATTAGATCAAGCATTATAGCAGCATATATATATCCCTGTGTTTAATGAAAATCTTTCTGGTAGAACTTGGATGCGTCTTGACTTTGAGACCTATTGATTAGATATGAGATCATCAATTTTTGACACGATCAATCAACATTGTGTCTGTCAGTATTAATTGTTGATTCCTTCCTTGATATTGTTTAGATCATGCTTAAACAAAGTCCTAAATATGACAAGGTCATGATTTTGTTTAAATCATATAATTTCCTCTGAACAAATTTGTCATAGGCAAGTAGTGATAGCTTGAATGTGGTGACTTGCAAATGTGAACATTGCTCCTGCACCAGTGACATGTATTAAGGTCGTTTTCTTAATATTTTTACTTGCTTTTGAATTACTTGTGCTAATTTGGTTGAGTTTTAGCGACATATTCTCCTTAGAGGTTAATGTAGCTCGGTTTTTTCTGTTATCCTGCAAAAGTTAGAAGTGCACTATATGACACTTTAGATTGCTCAGACACACACTTCATCCCTTAACTCACTCACAGGAATTACTTACTATAATGCTACTACTAATTGTAATAATCCACCCACATATGTTTTTATCCTACCAAAAGTAAAGAAATCGATTTATCGTCTGTAACATCTACCTATTCTGTGATTTCAACCAACCCACTCATTGAGTAACTCTTAGGTAAACTAATAAAAAGAACCGGTGTGATCTATTTTTAGCTATAAACACATTTTCACAAATAAACTGTCCAAGACTTATTATTGTAGATGTATGAATGGGTAAAAAACTTATGACTGTACCAGCTACAAGAAAAGATCTCATGATAGGCAATATGGGCCCTAATCACCCATCAATGCACGGTGTTCTTCGACTCATCGTTACTTTAGATGGTGAAGATGTTATTGATTGTGAACCAATATTGGGTTATTTACACAGAGGGATGGAGAAAATTGCGGAAAATCGAACAATTGTACAATATTTACCCTATGTAACAGGTTGGGATTATTTAGCTACTATGTTCACAAAAGCAATAACCGTAAACGGACCTGAACAATTAGGAAATATTCAAGTACCTAAAAGAGCTAGCTATATCCGAGCCATTTTGTTGGAGTTGAGTCGTATCGCTTCCCATTTGTTATGGCTTGGTCTCTTTATGGCAGATATTGGCGCACAGACCCCCTTCTTCTATATTTTTCGAGAAAGAGAATTGATATATGACCTATTCGAAGCTGCTACCGGTATGCGAATGATGCATAATTTTTTTCGCATAGGAGGAGTAGCCGCTGATCTACCTCATGGCTGGATAGATAAATGTTTGGATTTTTGCGATTACTTTTTAACAGGGGTTGCTGAATATCAAAAAAGATTTCATTCTACACTCTTATAATTTTGACCTTAAAATTGTCTTGCTGTAGGAAATTTTGGATGGGCTTGAGTTTGCAAAAGGTGATGCAAAATCCAAATGGGGTTCTGTTCGGGCTGCACTGGGACACCCCGAACCCTTTGATTTAAGATATGTTGCTATTGGTAATGAGGACTGTGGGAAGAAAAACTACCGTGGTATGCATCTCTTCTTAGAGTTGGTGCTTTCCTTTAGCAAATTAACCTTTTTGTTTTTCCTTTTACACTGTGCTGATGGAAACAATAAAAATCCTTGTACCTAGTTCACCATTAGATTTTGTTATTTAGTGGTATAGTGAGGTGCGTATCAAATGAATAAATATGTGAAATAACATTATTTGCTTAATATACAAGGATCTAGTTCTCCATTAGCTTATGTAAAAGGTGAATCTTTGATGTTCCTCCTATTTCATCATGATTCAGGAAATTACCTCAAGTTCTATTCTGCTATAAACCAATCCTATCCAGACATCAAAATGATTTCGAACTGTGATGGAACTTCTAAACTGTTGGATCATCCGGCTCATTTGTTTGATTATCATGTGAGAATCTAATATTTCATGTATTTGGAAAATTCTATAAGCAGCATGCTCTTTAGTTACTCATTATATAATATAGCAGCTCATTATACAAGTGTAACTTTTGTATTATATTTTCTTGTTAGGTTTATGATAATGCAAATGTTATATTCTCTCAATCTCACAAGTTTGATCATACCCCACGCGATGGTCCAAAGGTGTGCAAGGTTTTTTGTCTGATAACATGTTAGTTTTAGTTTTTCATTTTCTTGTTTAGATTTTTTTGGGTCTAAAGTCTGGTGTGTTATTTGTAGGTTTTTGTGAGTGAGTATGCTGTGACTGGAAATGATTCTGGCACGGGTAGTCTTTTGGCAGCACTAGCTGAAGCTGCGTTCCTTATTGGCGTGGAAAAAAATAGGTTATTTTATTTTCCTAACAATCTTTGGCAATCCTATATGGTATACATGTACATATTTCACGCATAGAGCAAAACAGAATTGGTCCTCGTTGGGTTTTCAGTGGGGAAGAAAATCCTTGAATTTGCTCTATGTTTAGGGAGAATCCAACAAAATGAAATTGTAGGTCATGTGTGTTTGATGAAATAACCCGGTAGCATTTTTGTAAGAAACTGCTGTATATTTACTTACATGGAAAAGGCAATCTGTGTGGTGCCGAGCTAGGTCTACTAATAGCGAACACTTTATTTGAGATCCATATTTTGTTGAATCACTGGCTTAATCTTTAGATCGCATTCTTCAGTTAAAGATGCAGTTGCTGATAAGTCATTATTGCTGAAAATCGGCTGAAAGGTGCAACTTCAATTGTTAGTAGTAAACAAACCTAGTTTTAATTGGCATGTACACAACTAAATATGCTTGAGGGTGGAGTATATCCATCAGTATTAGATAGAATCTTTGGCTGATAAGGACTTCATTTTTTTTTTTGGGATTCAGTGATGTAGTTGAAATGGCAAGTTATGCACCTTTGTTCGTGAATACCAATGACAGGAGGTCAGATTCATCTGTTTTGACTATAAAACTTCTGGTTCCAAAATGTTTCTGATTGATGATGGATTTGAAGAAGATCTTTTTTTTCTTTTATACAGGTGGAATCCAGACGCGATTGTATTTGACTCCTCACAGGTCTATGGGACTCCTAGCTATTGGATGCAGGATTTTTTCAAAGAGTCAAATGGTGCAACTCTTCTCAATTCTACACTACAACCTAATCCTTCAAATTCACTTATAGCGTCAGCTATTCAGTGGAAAAGTACAGTGGATAATAAGACTTACTTGAGAGTAAAGGTATGACTATTATATTCTGTGCTATTATTTCGGTTTGAGTAGATTGTTATTAAAAAAAAATAGGGTTTCTTAAAGGCACAAATTCTCCGAGAAAATATTGATGTTGATTGAGCTACTAAAGCATGCTTATGCTATTATGATTTCCAACGCATGATCAACACAACTTTGGAAAATTTCTCTCATTTCTCATGCATTTGTATCTGCATTCTTGATGTTTACATATGATCAATGAATTCAAACTCTTCTGGCAGATTCCCTGTAATGAATGGAAAAAAAAAAAAAGCTGCTGTCCCGTTTTACTGTGTTTACTACAGCAATTTGATGCCACATCTGGGCTACTTGGACCAAAATCATCTCTTTTAGCCTTAAAGTACAGCAACCTTTCCTGGCATTCGTAGCCTGACTTGCTGAGAGTGCAATATATTTCATTTTCTTTTTCTCTGTCCTCTTTGCCCTGACTGAGCATTCCCAACTTGTTTGCATTAGGAAAACTTCTTTTTTTCAGTTCATTTCTTCACATGTCTCTTGGCCTTGGTTATCATCAAAGTTAGTTTCAGCGACCAAAAGAAACAGATATATCATCTCTAAGAATTTGTAGTACATGGATTCATATTCCCTTTTGTATTTCTAAGAGTTTTAACTTAAATGTTATCCAGGTTGTGAACTTTGGAAGCACTGCGGTGGCTCTCAAGATTTCTGTTTCCGGGTTGGGGCAGAATTCAACAGAATCACTTGTTTCTACGAAGACAGAGTTAACATCAAGCAATGTAATGGATGAAAACTCATTTGTCAATCCAAAAAAGGTGATAAGCCTATTTTGCAGTAATTTACACCAGGATGAATTTACAATTCACACATTGAATGCCGTAGAAGATATGTAAAACACTAAAATCTTGAATGATTTGGTTTGGTTTTTTTCCTTTTTTATTTTGATTTCCTCCTGGTGAATATATGTAGGTAGTGCCATTCAAAACTCTGCTGGATACTGTCGGGGAGGTCATGGATGTGGTGCTCTCTCCTCATTCACTCACATCATTTGACTTGTCGATGAGGTCGGACAATAATATCCTAATTGCAGGATCCGATTCTGTTCTTAGATCATCATCATCATCATCCTGATAATGCAAAACCATCATGTATATCTGATTTATCAGATAAACCATCATGTTCTTACTAATTAATGGTAATGGTGATAATATAAAGCATATTTAGATATATGTCTGCCATCTTACATATCAGTTAATATTATAAACCGTGTATGTCTATCTGGTAAGATAAACCATGTTCTTACAAACTAATGGTAATGGTGATATTATAAAGCATATTTAGTTAGATCCATGCCTACCAGACCAATATCAGTTGGTTAATATGCTCCCTCTTGCTGCTGCTGCTGCTGCCGCCTAAGTGACTATCACTTTGTCAGTTTCAGAATTCCTCTCACTTTGTCTTGTCTTGTAGAGCACCATAGCACCATACCATCATCTCTAGTTAGTTTCATTCAATACTACTCCGAGTAGTTGTGTTAAAGAGGCAAATCCACTTTGGTCAACTTACTTCCATGATTTCATGTCGTAGAATTAGATGACAGCTTTCATGAAATTTTATCATACATTACATTAGGCGCATATCACAAACTCCAGACTGCCGAAGCTTCTGCAGGTGCTTTCTCCCCCGCAAAATAACCTATGGCAGTTTCCATAAGAGAACTAAACACTGCTCTATTGCTGCAATATCCATAAGAGAACCAACCACTACTTTAATGCAATAACGAGGTTGCAAAGATACATACAAGGGACCCTTTTTTTTTTTTTCTTTTTAATTACTGTTACTGATACACGGAGAGATGCGAGGAGGTTTGCAGAGACACAAGAGACTCTTTACAGCAGTGGTAAACTTGTTGGAGTATCTATCAAGGTGAAGCCATGTTTAGCAACAAAAGAATTGCTATCACCGAATTGCACCGCCAAAATTTAGCATATGCACTGATATAAGATCAACCAAGTGCAAATTGTCAGATCAGAGTCCTTCAAGATGCTCGATTATCACACTTCGAAATCACATTCAAAAGCTGTTTCTCCAAGTCAATCAAACTGAAAATGACCAAAAAAAAAACATAAGCATATGAGTCGGAATACTGCGTATTCCATCGACGATATTGGACAGGACTTTCCCTAACTTACATCTCATATTTTTGAAGTGCTTCCTTCTGTTTTGCTTTGTACAGGTCACTATCCAGAGGTAGGCTGCTCAAATTATTCGCTGCAAAATGAGCAAAACACACACGGTATCCGACAGGAAATCATCATTAGCTTTAATCAAATGGAACTCAACCCTGGAAATGGTATATAACTGTACAAGAAAGACCTAACCCCTGATTCTTTTGCATTCACAACCTTAAAGCAAGACACATGGTACAAACAGCTCAAGCCGGAAAATGAAGAGTACACAAGAGGGGGGAAGAAATCAGTCAATATTTCCATCTTTCTTTTTGTGTTATAAAACACTGAACTTTGTTGAAAATCTGGACTTACACCACCACAGCCAACATTCAGGATGACAAACATTTTTTAGGTTATTGCAGCTCCTATGAGAACTTAAAAGTCTTGGTTTTTTTCTTATAGCCTTGTGTTTCACGGAACATTCATCTTCTACGTATTTTATTTCTCAAGCCCAACAAAATCTTTCACTCTATTGACTACTAGGATGCTCCCTTGATTCGACTGAAACCAGTTTGATCGGACTGATATCTGAAAGATTCACATTACAAGCTGAATACATTCTACTAGTGATTATACACAAGGCCTATAACCCATTATTTTGACATTTAGGATATTGAGACCAGTACAAGAATATGGTAGAATGAGCAACTTATCGGTGTTTCACCTATAGAGGTGTCCTGCATACAGGGTACACAATTTCTTCAATAAGGCAACTCATAGGCGAATAATTATAGCTAGCAGACACAATCTTTTATTGGACTGTGCACACTGAGACTTACCAAAAACATGAATCAGATGCCCATCCAGTAACCAGATTTACTTACCAGCAAATAGCACTAAATCTTTGCCCATTTATCAAATCCTGATAGCCATTTTGTGAACCTTCAATTTCAGGCTACACATCGTATGTTGGTTGAAAAAGTTTTCTGAATCACAAAGCGACCATATTTTGGTAATTTCATGGTATTTATCATTCTCAGATTAGCTTTCGCAAAGACCATTAATCATGATATGAGGCAGCGAGTAACATTTAGTTGTAAACCTTGGGATTTATCAAGAAAGTACAAAAGCTAACACATCTCACCCACCAATATTTGCGACGTAAAAAGTAAACTAAATCACCACAGTGCTGTTGGATGCAATACCTACCACGAATCATATACCGTTACCTGTATTCTGAACTGGAACAATGGCTTTAGTCTCCACACTGGTTTGCACATTGTCAGAATGAACTTTATGTGTAACTTGCACTCCCTTTTCAAGTGAAAATAGACATACTAGTTAAAATAAACCCAGGTTCAGAAGTCACATCTTTCTAGGAGACAAAAATTGCACAAGCACAGAACAAAAGCATACAGTACGTTCTGGGCCTAAAGCAGAATAAGTATATTACCTTGCTACAAGAGCTCTAGTAAATCAACAAATTAATAGAATATAAATTGTTAGGACTAAAGCACTTAGTGAGTACAAAGTTTGAGTTTTTATTTGCTATCAATTTATACCCTCATCAAAGTTCAATTTCGTTCATGAATATCATCTAGAAAACGATGAACCATAATCTTTGTCCTCAAGTATGATTTTTTATTTGCTATCAAGTTATACCCTTATCAAAGTTCAATCTCATTCATGAATATCATCTAAAAAACAATGGAATCTTTGTCCTCTTGTAACGTCGACAGTGACAGCAAAGTCCTCCTCAGAATAGAGTGTTAACAAATCCTTTTTGCCAAGGAAGGGTGCACACCCAGTTATACAGCAAAAACATTGAAACACGCTGCTAGTCAAAGCACAACATAACCTTTTTTCTTAAACACCCTAACCAGTGTCATCAGAGCATCAAATTTCAATGAAAGATAGTGGCCAACACAAATTTTACACTAAATTGGACCATAAGGAGGTTTTGTGTGCTTCAAGTTCCAAGATGAGTGCTCATGGAAATATCCATTTCAAAGGTTTCAAACATAAAGAGGAAAAATTGCTAAAATTGTTCTTAAAGCTTTTGAACTACTTCTATCTCATTTTAATCCTAGGAGTTAATAAAGAAGCAGTTGAGTTCTTTAAGATAATTAAGTCCACATTTGGTCTTGGAAGAGGCAAAGTTTATTGTCTAGCAAAATCACATTACTGACATGAAAAATCCACGGAAGACTCCTTAGGCAAAATACATTTAGCCAGGATTGCCATATTTTTGACACACATGATTGTTCATAGGCAATCATACTTCTGTCTATCTAATTATGTAGGAGAATAACCATTTAATTCTAATTGTGCACCTCTGCAAAGGCAAATGTCAAAAGTTATGCATGGTTATAATAAAATCAGGCTCTTGTACAGCTCTGATAGACTAAAATACATCATTTTTATCTTTAAGTGCATAAATGAAAGTTTTTGAAAATCTATGGATATCTCCAATACCATTTTTATATACATACATAAGTTTCAATGGTATCAGCTTTGCAGTATCTGTTGTAGCTTGCTCTTGGTATAGGGTCACCCACTTCATATAAATATATCAGACTTGCCAGAAAAAAAACTAAAACAGCATCCACCAACATAGCTAGACACTTTTCCTGAGACATATAACGTGTCCTATGACTTCAAGCATCTAGATGAAAAAATCATGAGAGACAATAAAGTCCGGTCCATAATGAAAAATCCATTTCACATCACATGCTCATATTGTAAGTTATGATTTGACTGAAAGCAAGCATGGCCATCATGGACTTAGTCAAGCCTCCGCGACTAAATTCTTCATCTTTAACGGATCCTAATACATGCATAATTCTAAATGGCCCAAAAAAGGATTAATTAAGAAAAAAAAACATAGCAATTCCTTAATACATATTATTTTAAGACCAAAAAGTGTAGATTGAATCTACAAGAAGCACAAAAATAGAAACTGCCACACAGAAAACAAGAATTGCCCAGGCAAGAAGTCAACTGTGACTTCTTCTGGTCAGGTATAGATGAAATAATCTAAAAAGGCTGAAAAGAATAAAATTGATATTACACATCAACCTTACAGCAAATGGTTTGATCAAGCTTGCATGGTCATTATGCATTGAATCTTAATGGGGCTCTGTAAGCCTTTCTTCCTTAAAATTTCTCAACAATTTGCCTTGCAATTACCAAATTACTTTAAATCCTATCATAAGCTTAATGAAGACCATTAACGCATCTAAATGAAACCATTTCTTCTGTTTAGTAGTCAAGATTCTATTAGTTGGCAAAACAGATCATATGGCAGCAAATTACACCTCCGACCAGCATATTCCAGTCATTAGTAGCCCCAGTTCCAATCTTTCAGCAACCTAATAGTTAATTTATAAAACATTAAACACCCATCTCCGACATTGCCATTCCATAGAAAAGAACAAATGCATCATGTGCTTGACAATATCTTTATTAGCTCTTTAAATCAAGAACATCATGCTCCTGGATTTATATTTCACTAGAAAGGTCACAGTGAACACTAAATCCTGATTGGCATCTTACAACTGTTTGTGCTAATTATTATCCAAGAGCTAAAATAGATGATCAGAATGCTTATTATTACCTTCAAGAAGCTTATTATCAACTATGTTGTCACCACTAATCCTATCACCATTTCTCCTTCTAATATCGCCATGACTGCTATTTAATAACAACTTCTAACTCATACAAGTGGAAACAACATAATTAACACAAGAATTTTCGCTCTCTTTTTTTTATTGACAAGTAATTTGATATAAGAGCTGTTAAGAAAACAAATAAATAAAATACAGTCTTCTCTACCTGCTTAAATGTTTAGATGAAGTGCTAAATGTCAACATATAAGAGCAATCGTCGGCCTGCTGACACAGAACAATTGGGCTAGGGTAAACCTTTAGGATGTTAGATTCTTAGGATTCCTAAGAACATCATAATCAACTTTTCCTGCTTAATACTTCACTAGTAAATCCTATCCTCTGAGCAGCACACAGAATCTTGTCTTTTATCCCTACCCCAGCCCATAATCCTCCCACCACATCCCCTTTTATGTTCCCAAAAGAAACAAAAAAAATGAAAGAGGAACTAGAAAATGTGAAATATTCAGAAAATACAACTGGCAACACAAGACTAAATACAAATTTC